GTGGATTTTCTGTACTATATCTGCAGTGTGTGACAATACAAGACAGCTCAGTTAGATTCACTGCAATCATCTAATTATGTGCATTAGGGGGGAAAGGGGAGATTAGGAGTGGTCTGTGTTCGTTGTAATCCATCAGAAATGAAGCAGGCAGGGCTGACTACATCTGCTGTGGAAATTGAAGCAAAACATACACTGTGTTGTCATGTCGAATAGGAAGGTAGGAGCACACTATATTTCTGGGGCAGAATATACATATATATAATTTTGACTTAACAAGTGCATTAAAATCCCCTAAATCCTAGATTTGTATAGAACATATAATTTTAGGAATATTAATATTTTGTCTCTTTTATTACTAAGTCAGGATTAGCACTGTTGCATTTCTGGAATTTGCATTAGGCAGAAGACAGCAGTCTCAGTACATTTTCTTTAACAGGACTACAGAGTAGTACTAGTGGTAAATATTATAGCCATTGATTCCACTGCTTTTGTGTATCGTGACTCCATAATGTATGGGCATATATGCAATGATATGAACCCTATGTGATAACGTTTGGACTGTATATGTATGTGGGATGGTATGTTTTTACAAGCCATAAGGTGCCTTACTTTGGAAATGTATCAAACCTCTAAAAAAGAACAAATGAATAGGAATACATAAAGGAGAAAATCACTCATCCTCAGTTCGAGCCGACAGGTGACAATTAAACTGTCACATGATGGCTCAATGATCGGGAAGTGAGCAGGAATACAAAGCTACAAAAAGGTAGGAATCTGATGACACAAAATTGACTAAACCATTTAGAAGCCCACTAAAGTTCTTACCCTGTTTCTTTTTTTGGCTTGTGTAGACCTGTTTTTAAGTTTCTCTACATTGCACCTTTCTAATACCAGGCCATTAGCAGTGTTTGGCAAACCCAATACCATCCTATAAAGAAGAGCTCTCTTCTAGTTCCCCTGTCCCAAAATTTTAAAATGCAGCTTTTCATTGTAGATATCACTTTTCTTAAAACTATCCTGCTCCCAATAAACTGAAAGTTTCTACTGTTAGAAGAGTTATTGTAACAGGATGCATTGGGCAGCCTTTTTTTGGTATACACAGTATATGGTAAGGTTCTTGGGAGTCAAAACAGCATTTTTTTCCAGAGAAAAAAAAAATCAATGTATGCATGTGGAGTAGGATAGAGAGGTGTGAATATAGGTAAACTTCTATAGTCCCGCAGACAGGACTAACAACACTGGTTGGGATTTCAGTACAACGAAGGAATTGTGTTGTCGGCTCAAACAGAAAGTTAAGATCATCCTGGATTTCTGGCAAGTCGACAAATATGTTTCTGTACCGGCATCATTTTTAAAAGGTTTTTGCACAGAGAGATTATTCTCTTATTTTGGCATTTTACTTCTTGAAATAATAGTATATGGAAGTATTCTAAACAATTACTGCAAGTAGAAGTACTTGGTGGTTATGCTTGCGGAATTATATCACCAATGAGCAGGAATCTCTATACTTTGGCTTGTTATGTCTTCTTAATACTCCTCTGCCCAGAGACCTTCTGATCTAAATTTTTATTTACAGGATGGATGCCTGGCTAAGAATTATTACATTTATATACACTGCTGTATTCTATAGACCTGTATTGGTAAAGCTTAAGTCAACAAAAGCTATGTTAAAAAAATCATTTATACAAAGTGCTGTACTGTGTGACACTGTAAAACCACCAGAACCAATATGAAATACCAAACATAGTAGTTAGATGGTAGATACAATTATGACATTACATTCCATCATTTCCAACTCCGATTCAGTGTAAATATTTTATAAATAAGATTAATTGTTATAAAAGATTGCCAGTTATGATGTAAAGTAAGAAAGAGAAACAAAAGAAAAAAAATACAAACTTTAAAGTATCTGAAGTACGCCAAATGTCTCTCTATTTAGAATGTGAAAAGTAGAGTGTATACTGTATAGTACAGGAATATGCAACAATGTAAATATTTGGAGTAGGTTAATCTGATATGGAACACTGCTTATTGAACTGTATAACATTAGAATACCTAATGTAAATATCAATAAATTCAAGTGTTTCACAGACACATTTAAAATTCTTTGTGCAGCAGGTACTTTGTGAAATGGTGTTGGTAAGAATATTTAAAGTGTATGTAATCCCCAGCAATGATTTTCTTGTATTTGCTCCCTTTTGGTCTGGTAAATATGCTATTGAAATCTTTTTGCTACATCTGTTTAATTAGTGCACAAAAATAGCTCCTGATTTTGCTAGAAATCTTGTGAGTTGATAACTTCTTGTGCTTTCTGCCTGTGCACATGGAGGGCTATGGAGATGAGGTGTTTCTTTGTAAACCATCAGAAATAAGGTAAGTAAATAATTTTAAAGCATGCAAAGAGGGAGCACCCATTTTTAATCCTCTCTTTATCATGCAAATCCATATTTATGTATTTTCTGATTAATAGGCAGTGAAGTGCCTGGCAATGTTAAACCTTAGGTGAGCTAAAAATATTTCTACATTTTTATTTTTACTTTGATGTCTGATATAAATTAATTTCATAATATAGGTAATTTATATGTCTCGAGGCAAATCGATTTAGCTGACAAAGCTTGTTGACTCTTGTGTGTTTAATAGAATCCAGCATATAATGAGAAGTGTTTCAAGGAACCTCTGGGTATTAAAGTGGTTTTCCACTTTCTAATATGTTGTTTTTTAAACAATACAAAAGTGCCCAATAATGTTATTATAATGCATGTACATTTGATAATGTAAAGGATAATATAGGATGAATTCCATACCAGGAAATTAGTGGTTATCTGCAGCCTTGAAACCGTATCTAGGCTGCTGTATTCTAGCCCTGCTCTTTGACCTGCTTTGTCAAGCAATAAACGACATTCCAGAGTCTGGTTACAATGATTAATTAGTATTATTTGAGAGAAAGCACACCGATGCAGTAAAAGCTAATTTGTGTTGATACTCTTCAGGAAATGTCTAAGCAAATACTAACAAAAGATATCATCTTGGGCCAATTAAAAATGGATCCATTTCACACACCAGCCTGATGCTGATACATACATGGACTTGTACTTGTCACAGACCCCAAAGTAGGTGTGTGAATGTGAGGTGTTCCGCTCAATGCTTAATTGCTCTTGAAGGTAATTAACTTCAGGAATGAAGGCTGGTCTCCTAGCAAACGTATTTATTTATTAAAGGTATTTATATAGTGCAGACAATTTACGCAGAGCTTTACAATAGTTGCACATCAGTCCCTGCCCTAAAGGAGCTTACAGTCTAAGATCCCAATCTCACAAGCATATGAGGGCCGATTTAGACAGGAGCCAATTAACCTACCAGCATGTCTTTGGAGTGTGGGAGGAAACCAGAGTACTCGGAGGAAACTCACACATGCACAGGGAGAACATAAAAAACTCCTTGTAGATAGTGACCTGGCTGGGATTTAAACCAGGGACCCCCAGTGCTGCAAGGCAGAAGCGCTACCCACTACGCTACTGTACTTTGAAAGGTATATATTCTCTTTGCACAATAAATGTTGTAAAAGGTGAAGCTTTTTTTAATTTACCCTATTTTTTAAATAGACTGCATTCCTTTAGTAAATCAACCCCCTTGTGTCAACAGACTCGTTGAAAATAATGCTCTCCCTGTGTGGCTTATTACCCCAATAGTTGTCCGATGTATTGCAATAAGTCACTAAGGGCTCCCCTCTAGTGGCTAATTAAGAAAACTATTTATTTAATCAAACAAAAGTAAGAAAAAGCAAGCTTGTAAAAAATCTACAACTGTGCTAACTGAAAATATGCCCTACTTTTCTTCTGCTGTTTTCAGTAAGTGTTTAAACTCTAGCACTATCCTTCTTTCTCAAACAAGTCAATATATCTATATAAAACAACTATCACATGAACATAAGTCATTAAAATTTACTTACCAGGCCTGCTGCCATTTTTTAATTTACTTGAAGCATACTGTATGCTTCCCTTAGTAACAGAGTCCCCTAAAAATAAGAAAAACATTTAATATGTTGAACTCATTAACTAATATTAACATAGTAAGTAAAGCCACTGGATGTAAAACATACCTGTCTTAGGGTCAACTGTAGGTAGTGTACACGTATCATCAAAGTGTGTATTATTTATTTCCTTGAAAACTGAAATAGTTTCAGTAATCAAATTAAAAAATTTCCTTGGGGATAATGTCACTTCAGGAACAGTATCTAAATAGTCATCTACAAAGTCCTGTTAAGGTAGAAAAAAACATAAAATAAAAATCACAAAACTGTAAAATAAGATTATTAATATTCTTTAATAAAATTAGGAAAATTATTTATAATACCCACTATTCAATACTCAGTTATGAAGCTAATAAATACTTGCAGACCTAGCTTATAGGTTTTCCTAATCCTGTTAATATGTGCCTGAGATTTTGTTTTTTAGCATGTGTAATTTTCAGAATGAATGTGAAATATTTAAATACACTGTTCACATAATGCATACAAAGTCACAGGGGGCCATGTTTTTGCTACTGGGTTAAGTTCTTTCACCTATCTCCACACGCATGAAAGAATGCACTGCTTATTCCAGCAATTATGTGTTGGCCTGCAGCTACATTCTGTTCTCTGTGGGAGGCCCTAATAGTTGCTTTTGATTTTTAAGAAAATATATTTTTGTCCTTCATTAGATAAATTTTTGTTAAGTAAGGTAGTTCTGTGCTACTATTTAGCCCTTATTTTAGTTTACACTATGTAATTAAACAGTTAGTAGCTTGTTGGGAATAAAAAGGCTTAACTATAATGTCTTAAATCTTATTTAGAACAGTGAGTCCTAAATGAAGAATATACTTTATTAAATCATATAAGGTTAATAGTAAGCAAGCTGAACTGCTCTTAAAACATTAGAGTAAATAAAAAAATGAGTAAGAGAACAAACGATAGTCTATTTTTATCCTTACTGGGTTTTACTGGGTCTTTGGGACAAATAGAAGCTTTCTAGGATGTTGTAAAGCCCAACTTTATAAAATCAACCCTGTATACAGACTGTCTAGCTATAGTTTTATTTTATTCTTTTATAAGATAAAAGAACATCTAGATAAGCATTCAGTGTTGATAAAAAATAGGTAGGTTACAAAATATAGTTATGAAAAAGAAACAACTGAATATGTGAAAAAAGGATATTTCTACAAGTTATGTTTTAAAAACGAATTGCAATAATAAAATGTGAACATGCAAATATAATTTTGTAATAATGAAATAATAATTTTGTACCAAAAGAAGGCTGTCCAAAAAGAAGGCTGTTACAAAAAGTCAAACAGTTATCAAATCAGAAATTGCTTTTAAGTAGTTCTTATTACTGATACTGTCAATAAAAAAAAAAAATTGTAATATCACTAGGGAGCTTCTAGATACAGTACCTGTTGGTCAGTGAGCTTGACACAGTTCCTGATTTCTCGAAATATCAAAGATAGGCTGTCTAATATAAGATAATTTTGTGATGTGTTTGAGAGTTTGGATGAAAGTTCTCCAAGTCGCTCTGACATTTCATACACCATTACATATAACCAGCAGTGTTTTGACTAAAAGAAACACAAAAAAAAAAGAATAAATATAAACATCAAAATAGTTACATCTCTGCATACTAGTAAAACATATTCATTTAATAGAAAACATTCTCTAGAGGGGTATAATGGGTAACCTTTTTAACAACAAAATGACTTAATGCATTATGTCAGAAATGCCAAATTATATTTCCACACAATTGCCATCTGGACTTTTTTTATTTAGTACAGATGTTCATTGTTTTGTGCACAAAAACCATTTTGATGGGAAAGTGGATATTTGTGCATGACTAAAAATACTCTACACAGTTATACAATTCAAAAGAGCTCTGGAGTGTTATGAAAAAAAAATCTTCAGCCTTTGGGTTCTGGCAAGTCAGAGATCTTTAGCATAAGAAAAAGAAACCTCTCACAGTAAGAGAAGTGCTGGCGGAAATTGGAACAATAATGCACTCTCCACACGCCAATAAAATGGAGTGATTTCAGTGTATAATTTTATTATGAAAGAGGGTAATAATGTAAGTTACCGCATCAACTATATAGACAGATTCTAGTATCCATAAGAAATCATTCCCCTCTGCAATGGGTTTAAAAGCAAACACTTATAAACTTATCATTAACATTTTATTCATAGAGCTTCTCCTCATGCTGCTACAAACCATGTGTTCATATACTAAACAGTGAATGTCACAGAATAACTTTGCAGAGGCCTAGTTCAATTCACTGATGCCAATTAAGTACATTAAATTGTATCTAAAGCTATTTTTGGAGGATAAAATAGGGAAGGGTGAGAACCTCTGCCACTAGGGAGATTCGCCCTCTCTTTTTGTCCTCATTACCATTGTCGACAGCAATAAAAGTAAGACAAAATTCAGAATTTTTAGTTATTACTCAAACAAGAATAGAGGGGAAATCTTTCAATGGGGACACTTGTCCCAGTTACAACTATCTAATATGAAATTTCCCTTACTTAGATTTCCTCTCACTTCCTGTTGGATCTTCTGAACATAAAGTAATTCACCTCAATGAGACATGGACAGCAAAATATAACAGTGGTTTTAGCTACTCCCTATCCAAAACAAATGTGTATTCACAACTTTCCATCTGCATTTTCATGCACATTTTTACATGTGTTACCAAAAAACATGCATTTTCAAGCTCTGCCATTATCATTAATGGGTCATTTAATGCACATTGATACATAAAAAACAGACAGTGCACATCAATGCATTGTAAAGATGTGAACAAGTATCATTTAAAAAAATGGCAAATCTGTGCGCGTCTGTTAAATGGCATCATGGTGAATGGGCCGTAAAAAAGAACTCTACTAAACATGTTTGGAGGAAGCAGACTACAGCAAAAGGAGTCATTGGAAAAATGTAATGCAGGCTATTCACAGCATAGCAGAGTACATTCACAAAATCAACTGCTTGTTACAACATACACTATATTGCCAAAAGTATTGGGACGCCTGCCTTTACACGCACATGAACTTTAATGGCATCCCAGTCTTAGTAAGTAGGGTTCAATATTGAATTGGCCCACCCTTTGCCGCTATAACAGCTTCAACTCTTTTGGGAAGGCTGTCCACAAGGTTTAGGAGTGTGTCTATAGGGATGTTTGACCATTCTTCCAGAAGCGCATTTGTGAGGTCAGGTACTGATGTTGGATGAGAATGTCAGGCTCCTGTCTCCGCTCTAATTCATCCCAAAGGTGTTCTATCGGGTTGAAGGTCAGGACTCTGTGCAGGTCAGTCAAGTTCCTCCACCGCAAACTCGCTCATCCATGTCTTTATGGACCTCGCTTTGTGCACTGGTGAGTAGTCATGTTTGAACAGGAAGGGGTCATCCCCAAACTGTTCCCAGAAAGTTGGGAGCATGAATTGGTCCAAAATGTCTTGGTATGCTGATGCCTTAAGAGTTCCCTTCACTGGAACTAAGGGGCCAAGCCCAACCCCTGAAAAACAACCCCACACCAAAATCCCCCCTCCACCAAACTTTACACTTGGCACAATGCAGTCAGTCAAGTACCGTTCTCCTGGCAACCGCCATACCCAGACACATCCTTTGGATTGTCAGACAGAGAAGCGTGATTCGTCACTCCAGAGAACACGTCTCCACTTCTCTAGAGTCCAGTGGCAGCGTGCTTTACACCACTGCATCCAACGCTTTGCATTGCACTTGGTGCTGTAAGGCTTGGATGCAGCTGCTCGGCCATGGAAACCCATTCCATTAAGCTCTCTACACGCTGCTGTTGTGCCAATCTGAAGGCCACACGAAGTTTGGAGGTCTGTAGCTATTGACTCTGCAGACAGTTGGTGACTTCTGCACACTGTGTGCTTAAGCATGTGCTGACCCTTCTCTACTATCAGTTGACCGTGGAATATTTAGTAGCAAGGAAATTTCACGGACCACCTGAATCCAATGATTTGGAGGGGTGTCCCAATACTTTTGGCAATATAGTGTACCTTTGTTTTACAAAATACTGGTGTAAAATGGATGTAAAGTTATATTTAACTTTAACAAAATGCCATTTGTATGCCACTAACAGGAAATTGAAATATATTTCTAAATAATAAATGAGGCAAGCTCCTTAAACTGTGACTCATGTTAAATAAATAAGAACTGCAGCATGTAAATGCCAAGGGTATCTGAATAAATGAAAAGGAAATGCTTAAAATGTATCAGCAATATTGGACGTGGACTGGCTGGAAAGGTATGCATTGAAGATAACACAAATATCTGAAAGTTGTTTAACATTTCAGGGGACTGTGGACGTGCAGAGTGAAATTCAAAGATGATGAATGATCTTGTAAAATTGACAGAATTTACAAAAAAACTATCAAATTGTCAGATACATAACAGATTCTTCTAAGGTCTTCAAATTCTAACAGAATAATTACACTATATATTGCGGTTGATTTACTAACGGCAGATAGGCTGTTCACTTTGCAGGGGAAGTTTACCTTAGCTTAATGAATGTGGTGAAAATTCCCCTTGCATGCACTTCACCTCATTCACTAAGCTAAGAGAAAATTCCCTTGCAAAGTGATCAGCCTAATCGCCTTTAGTAAATCAACCCCTATAAATACCCAGCAAGGTTCAGAAAGTTTATTTCTGGTACTAATAGTAGATGTTTGCCAAAGGTTGCTCTTTGTGAGTCAGCTTGTGAAAATGTCTTTTGTTTCATTACAAGATCCCCAATGTGTCCTTAAAGTAACCTTTCTTTCTAGCACAAATAGCAAGAATGCACATCATAATTAAGCTGATCTCCAGACAGATGTAAAAACATTCAATCTGGCTATGTATCCAATACAAATCATTGCAAATATTATATTTTTATGTAGCACTACCACAAGTTTCAGAAAAATGTGTAAAAAGCTTCACAGATATGTACTGTATTTCTGTGTACTGTTTGCTCAAAGCTAATTTTTTAATTTGACCTTCTATGAAAGTGACCAGTTTGGAACCTGGCCCTGTCCCTCATATGTTGTACCATTTGGTAGCTGATCATAAACGTCAGCCCAACTACAGATGCTCCTCGCTTAACGACTTACCTGTTTTGCGACCACTCGCACTTACGACCGACCTCCGAGCGACCTCTGACCTCGCACGTCAGCGTCAGTGCGACGTGTCGCCGGGGGAAGTGACGTCCTCCGATCTTCACTGCGGGTCCCGGTGAGTATTTTCATTGCCCGATGTACAGTACACTGTTCGGTACTGTACATCTGCAATGCTATACAGTACTGTACTAATGCAGTACAGTACTGTATAGAGTTCCTCACTTAACGACCAATTCGTTTAACGACCTGGTCGTAGGAACGGAACTCGGGCGTTAAGTGAGGAATACCTGTATTCAGTTTAGGTTGATTTTCATGCTGTCAGGTGAGAACAAGTTTATGGACACATGGACACCAAACCTGACTTCTGAAAGTGTTTACATTAGCTCTCTAGGATCTCAATAAATCCTCCTGTACTAAACGATTCTGTTGTATTTGCAGACTTGTTCACTTTTGCGGGCCTCTCAAACAACACCTAGTGAACCTGTATAGCAATGTGAGGGGACACTGGTGAAATTACTAGTGTTGGGTAAAGTTAAGCGGAAGTAGATTGCTTTGAAAGTTAGGGCTGGTCAAAAAAATTACTTAAAAGATCAAGTCATTTCTGAGCCTTTTAAACCGCATTTGGAACACATTTATGTCTAAAAATACTAATTAGATTAGACTGTTTTCAACTGGGGAAAGGAATAACATTCTCATAGATGGATTTATGTTGAGGCCTACAGCCTATTTATGTTATATGAAAACAGTTACATGAATTGACTTTTGTATATAAATAGATAACATTTTGTTCAGATTTTAACTTATTTTTGTCAGACTGAAGCATGTGTTACATTACCAGAATGTGAAGTATAATATATAGAATATAATATATAGCATTAGTGCCTTGACCAGGTCTTTATTGGTCTGTCTCCCCAAGCTATTTGGACAGCAAGTTGGCTTGCACGTAAAGCATTTAGCTCAAACCACAGAGAACTATTTGTACAGTGTGCAGGAGGCGTATAATTAGTGCGGACACTCACTTGCCTTTGTTAAAAACAGTTCAACTGTATGCCAGTGACTTTTTACATTCAAGTTTGACACGCTGTTGCACAATATGCTGGAGGTGTCTACAAAACAGCAAACACTTCTCTGCACAGCCAAATTTTAAATAATTTGTAAAATGTTTGCAGTTTTCACAGAAAGCATAAATTGTCATATACGGTACATGATTAATTTGTTTACTTAGCAATCCTAAATGTTCATACAAGCAGGTGTTGAATACAGCGTATCCAGCTCCTGTTTAAAGAGAACAGAATCTAGTGCTTTGGGTGGTCAATATAAATTAATTAAACTGCTGTCTGTTCTCATTTTGACATGGAGCGGCATGCAACAAAGCTGTCAATATACTAAGCGCTTGTGTGCATTGAGATGTTCAGTTCAATATACGCCCTGGGGCCATCAGAAATTAGTAAGCACCCCAATCTGGAGCCACTGAACAGAAGGAGTAAAGGAATCCATATACAGCAAGACGAATAGTGTAGCAAACAGCAGCAAACGAGGATTTCTAAGGGTCAGATGCTTGACCAACTGCACTGAAATATTTTAGCTGTTTGCTGTTTTTTTTTTTTGATGGTTCAGAAGAAAGCTGGTATTGTTTGTGCTACTGCTGGGGAATTATTATTGTATTCATCAAAAAGAAAAAAGAGCTATTCTAAGGTCTAATTATTTCTACTTCAATAACTAAAAACCCTTATAGAGGACTAAGTTAATAAAAAATGATTAAAGTGAACCTGTGCTTTGCCCATGCAAAGCAAAAGCAAGAGGTTCATTTAACTGTCACCATCCTCAGCTTCACATACAGTACATACTGTACCTTCCCATTGCTCTCCCATTGTTGCATCTGCCTTCCAGGAGCAAAGAGAAAAACCCAGCATGTGCAAGTATAGGGGAGCATGTGAGTCATTCATCTTTCTTCCATGTGACAGTGCTGGTGCTTGGTGAATGGCCACAAAAGCCCCCAGTGCTGTCTAATGGGAAAAGGGACAGAGTCCTCAGCCCTGTCTAAGATGCAAGTGATGACATTGAGCTTATACATGGCAATGTGTGTTACCCAATTGCAAGGGAGAAAATGGGAATTGACAATTAAAAGCTAGGGAGGGTGGCATTTATGTGAGCCCACTGCTTTGCCTTTGAAACCACAGGTTCACTTTTTTTTTTAAAGAAATAACTCAAATGTGTTTTTTTCCTTTTAGAAAAAATACTATGAAAGAATGTTTGTGAGTGTACCCCTATGTAACATTTTCGTGACTAGAAGCCAAAAGCTCTGATGATGTTATCTGTTTCACTTAAATTCCAGAGTTTTTCTAACTTTTGACCTATTGTACCTTCACTAATTCTTTAAAATGTGTCTGTTTCTACATTACATTGCTAAAGAGATCAGTGAAATAGAATGCATGTCACTGAATATTCCCTGGTGGGCTTAACCCACTTCCTTATTTCTTTTGAACTCAATAGGTATAAGGGGTAAGGTTTCCTTGTGCTACTTACATAAGCAGGGAATGAGTTTGTGCTTTTCAGGTCTTCTACTAGAACTAACATGATAAAATGTATAATCATGGTAAAAGAAAAATAACTGCTTCAAAGATATTTCTGAAACATTTGCTAACAATTGCCAGTGCATTTTTCGCACAGACCGTGCACATGACAGAAGCGCCAGGCAATGAAAAAGGAAACAATGATGAGTAATAACACTATATTTTTTAAACACTTAAAAAAAAGACATCCTGAAAGCAGTGTGTATATTGAACTTGTCCGCTTAACAAAGTTCTACTGCATTTTTAGGGAAATACCAATGCTCTTGCTATTTTTGTGGTCCGAAATCTATGAGATGCAGAACAATTCCAACATATAGCATGTCTATGTGGCTGCTTCTCCTGCCCTGCACATCATGCCAAGTAGCTCTGAACCTTACAAAAAAAAAATATTAAACCTGGCTTCCTTTGCTTTAAAAGAGATGAACATTATTATTATTATACAGGATTTATATTGCGCCAACAGTTTGTGCAGCGCTTTACAATATAAGGAAGACATTACAATCACAATACAATTCAAGACAAGATGGAAAGGAGTGCCCTGTCCGTGAGGGCTTACAATCTAAAAAACAAAATCTGTGCTTTAGCCACTATATTGCATAATGCTTACAGTAAGTATATACTCTACACATCCTTGATATGAGAAAATGCTGGAATTCACATTATCTTCTTCCTTCATCTACCAAGACATAAGCCATAGACTTATATGTAGACAAGTTATTATGCTGGTTGTTGGATTTTCCAGAGAAGCATATTTACATGAAAGGCACGTTATATTAATCTTTAATACCAAAGCAAGAGGTATGGAAGTGTGCAAGATTAAGACCAATTCATATGCCCTTTTGTACTGTATTGGTGCTTAACATGAAAACTGCACTTATTCAGCAGCTTAGGCAAAATTGAAAAAGATTAAATCCAATTATCTTTTTCTGCTTTCTCCTGTTTGAATGAGAGTTTCAGAAGTTCAGTAAAAAAAGATGCTGTTTTGAGTAGACTGGAGATGTGTGGGAAATTTGTGCCACCATAATAACCCTAGATAGGATATTCCAGCCACGAGAAGACATAAAAAGGGACAGGAAAGAGAACATCCATTAAAATATTTTTATTTTAGCACAGTGAAAAACAATAACTGCTTAAGAAACAGCAATGAATAGTAGTATATTTATATTTCCACTACTGGAAAGTTTAGAATAGTTTTCATTTAGGACAATTGTTCTTTTTAGGGAGTGCTGATATATTAGCAATGCTTGGCTTTCAAACCAATCTTAGGTTTGAAGAGAGATCTATAAATGGCCTGCAAATTCCCTTGAACACTTCCTTCTGAAAATACTCTTTGCCTGATTGTGTATGACATCAGTTCAAGACACTTACCTTGAAAAAGCACACAGATCAGCAATCCTAATCTGCACACTTGTGCCAAGACAATGACTGAAAAAGTTCTCAAATCTTTGAATCAACATGACAGCCATGCAACTAGCATTTTAAGAAGGGCAGGACAATTATGGCAACTTTAATACTTCCTCAAGTAAGGGTTTCCTTTAAATACACTTCAAATTTATCAGACATTCAAATTATATATATGTGACATTAGACAAAAAAAAAGTATACTGGTACTGTATGTTACTGGCACAAACACACATCTATCTATAAATATAAATACACAAATCTTACCAGACTGTTTCTGGAGATATTTTTCACATGCATAATGTAATCACTCGGTAGATTTCCAACCTAAAAAGGACATAAAAAATGGATGTTACATATAACGGGAGCATTCACATTACTGGCAATCAAAAGTCAAATCAAATACAATATGCAATAATAAAATTGATAAGGAAAAGTTAAAAGAAAGAAATGTAATTCAATATGTAACTCCCGCCTGATACTCTACAGCTGGCCATACACTGATCTATTTTTTTTCGTTCAACCCTGAATTAAAAAAATAGACCCGATTCCTCCATCAACAGTAACAGCATGTTGATCGAGGAATCCCACTGTTTACATTGTATTCTGACAGGAGCCGCCAGCCTCAGAATTGTGCCGCCAGCCTGTCAGAATTCCCAACCAGAGCGGGCAGCTCATTGGCAAGATTTTGCGACCGGCTCCTTCAATAAGCTGATCGAGGGATGCCGTTTGAAAGGGTGCTGACAGCGCCACACACTGTGCAAATTTTGTCCGGTTCCTCAAACAGTGTATGGGCACCTTTAATCTTTCAATTAGGCTAGAGAGCATTTTGTCTTGGTGTAGATATCACTAGTAATCTTGAGAGGGTCCACATTCACACTTCAGAATTTTTCATTTGGTACAATGCGGTTTTCTATTTAAAAGGTAAAGAAGGTGTTTTACTAGAAAAATACCTTAGATCTAACAAGCAGGACTTGTTTAATGCATCACAATAAAAGTGCAAAGGTTTAATGCGCATGTGCATTTATCAGTAACGATATAGGTTTGTGTGCACATGGGCTTCATTTAGCTTGCATGCAAGCAGTGTGTGCAGCAAGCTTTTGAAAAACATTCAGGCAAGCAACTTTGTTCATGCCTTTAAAAAACTCTTTCAGAATGTTAAACACAGATCTAAATAGGAGTGCTGGATCTCACTTTAAACAAGCCGCCAGGAGGCTTTAGAAGGCTTTCAACAATCATCGCAAAATCTATGTTTACCATTCCCAAAATGGAGGAGAATATTGATTTAAAGGTTTCAATAAAGCTTATCAAAAACTCTGAAAATGCTTTGTAAACCTTGCTGTACATCCTGCCCTTATACATGCTGAAACCTCTGTGAACAAGGGCTAAAAGAGCACCATTTAAAGTTTTTCACTAGGCACCGATACTTGAGGACGGGTTTGGGAAAGATGGCTTTCATCTAAATATGCTTTAGCATGGTTGTTATACTACAATAGATAACATTACTTTAATTACTGATGTCAGAAGAAACACAAACACATTATTAATTACTTTTCTATTAATTGCTGCTTCAAACTGTAGACATTGGGGCTGATTTATAAATGTTCCTTACATTGCATAGATGGGCGGAGGCTGTTTGCAAGCCATTAGCGCCACTAGATGGCTCTGAGGAGCATAGGAGCATTTTTTTTTGTTTTCATTGTTAAAAGCTGTAGATTGTCTTGAAGTATATTTTTAATAATTGTTTTCATAGTTATACAAGCAGAATCCAGGTAACGCAGAGTATATAACATTTTTAATTTTATGTACATTCTTCCCTCTAGCTGCACACAGTGGGGGACATTTATAAGAGCTATACAAACTGAAAACTGGGTAATTTATATATATTGTGTTGTTTTTGTTTTGTTTCTGAAGTGTGCATAAAGCTAGCCATTAGAAGCTGGTCACACATGCGAAAAAAGATCTCATTGCTGAACAATCATTTTGGGGGGTAACAATTGTAATTGTCTAAAAAATAAAAGGCTGATTGCATGTTATCTTCTACTATTTTACTATTTAAAAACAAGAAGATCACCTCAAGTCAGTGGGTACCCTCATTTATGAACATTTGAGGACATTAAGAAAATGTAAAAGGTAAAGAATGATAAATGTTTACTATATTTAGTATCTAGGTTGCAAAAACCAAATTGTAGTACTAACCACTTATGGTTCATCTTTTACCTCATTTAAACAGACAAAGCTAGAAATTGTGCATTGCAAAAAAATTAAATAACATGGATGTTAAAATGAAAACTTTTATAAAGTAACTATTAACTATTTTGTAGTAAAAATGTAATTATTTGTCTAAGGTTTGTGTTCATGCTCGACCTCTCCATCACTGCAACAGAATGCAGGTATGTAAAACAAGGCTCTCTTACGGATCAAAACAGAGTCCACCTTATTTGACTGCTACAGACATGGCACCCCCAGCATTCTACCACCATACTCATTTGACTTAGGAAGTATATTAGAAACAAATAGTGGAATCCTCTTGCCACAAAATATATCATGTTACAGATCTTTCACAACATCACAGAGATTGCTAGATCACACTGCTGTCTCTTAACTTATTAGCGTCACTTACTGATCAAGCACCAGCATATTCCATAAGTCTATACAACTGGAAATATTTGGAGCATGCACTGCTGAATCTGCCCTGAAGTCACAAAGCCAGTAGGTCAAACTGCATAGGTTAAGTGAATCTTATCATATTCTTTTTTTTTTTTTAAGCAAGCTAGTCACCTTTGTAAACTAAACTGTAGACAGCAAAGACAAGATCAACACCACAGACTCAACTATAGCAGAAATATAAAACAATCAGTTACTGGTTAAAAAGAATGGTTCCAGCGGCACATCTGCCATGCAAGTGTTTTAACTCTGACTTTCAAAGCATTGGACATCTCTGGCCTACAGCTCCTTCACGTCTTCTCTATTGCAAAGTTCCTGAACACAAATCACCTGGAGCTACAGTCCTGAACTCAAATCACCTGTCACCCAGCATGCTGTGCTTATTTGAAGACATGCTGAAATAATTTCTGACAAATATGTTAATAAATCAATTACTAGTAAAAAATAGTGGTGTATGCAGCACACAGGGTTTTACTATCTGAAATTCCAACGGCATGTTACCTACAGCACTCTATTTATGTCAGAGCCACTGCACAGCTTCTATAACTACTGTCTTACTCACCTAGCATTTTATTAGTCTACTAGAATTGTGTGGATTTGAAGACTTTCTTCCACCCCACAAGGTCCATCTACTCCCTTACCTTGTGCTTCTATTCCTGTAGCAAAAGCAATAGTTTTCTGGCTACATAATTATTATTATTATACAGGATTTATATAGCGCCAACAGTTTGTGCAGCGCTTTACAAGATAAATGAGGTAGGATAAACAGTTGCCATCTGTACCAGGCCAGGTATACATGCCATGATACTAGCTTTCAGGGGGCTTCCCTCAAGAGAGCAATATGCAAGGCATGAAAGTGACACTAAACTCAAGAGATAAATCTTAAAAATACACTCAAGTACCTTACCTATTAACAAAAATGTGGCTTATTTGTGTATCACTCAGCTGTAAATCCTCAAATGATCTATAAATTCCTGCTGACGCTGTCCTTCCTTCTGGAGGGTGGCGACTTGTGTTCTCCATGATCCCTGTGTGTTGAAAAGTAGCCACCACTCCAAGCTCGCTCACGTGATAGGCTATAACTTCAATACAAATTAGTGAGCTTGGAGTACAAAAGTAGCCAGCCTCCAGAAGGAAGGACAAATTCCGAGATCATTTGAGGATCTGCAGCTGAGTGATACACAAATGAGCTAAATTTTTGTAACTAGTTAGGAAACGTGAATGCATTTTTAAGATTTAACTCCTAAATTTAGTGCTACTTTAAATTAAGGGATTTGGAAGCACATTTTATGGACACCCAGCACTTTCATATGTGTACCCTTCATATTATGAAAACATAGTGTAAATTATTGCAAAAGAGGATGCTGGGATTGGAATTTAGGAGACATAAATTTAGGAGACATACTAGCATATAGCAGATGTAGTACCCAGCAATTGCTCAGTTTGAGATAGTGGTACCTGACTAATCTGACACTATTTTTCAAACTAAGTTGATGTCACTAAACCTTGGCCCAGTAGAATTTAGCAAGGACATACATCAACAAAGATCTATTAGCTTTTCTCTCAGTATAAGAAAATGTTAGAACTGAGTAGCTAGCCAGTAGAGTTTTTCTTTGCATGTGAAATAAGTATCCTGCTACTGGCATCCATCCACAATTCATTATTTAAACTAAAATGATGGCTCTCTATTATCCATATGGTGGAATAAATCAATAACGGTTTGTAACTGACTTAGAAGAGTTTGCTTTAGAACTCACTGTCAAACAAGCAAATAATGAAGCTGTCAGAGCAACAGTTATTCAACACACTCCATTCATAATGGTTGCAGAGGAGAGCCAAATTTCTGGATTATGGCTTTGACTTCACTACGTTCATTATGAATTTTGTTTGCAATGCTACATGACTAGGCTATTATTTTAAAGATGCTGGCAAAGCCAGCAGAGGGGATGAAAACAAATACTTGTCAGCACTAATTCCTTAAACAAATTTATTTATGTGGCAATCTAGAAAATAGCCAGGCCCAAAAGATTATTGTATTCCGAGAAATGTTGTGAAATGATTGTGTTAGGCATTCATAAAAATGTTCCTTATAGTTAAGATACACCTTTTTATTAACACTTACCCACACCTTAGTACAACCCTCATGGACATTGTAATCTGGACCAGTTATCTTTCATAACCTTTTAAAACTGATTTACCAGCAAGTAATATATAAAAAAGAAATTAATAAATGTTATAACTGCTGCTAGTATAAATGCCTGACTTAAAGTGGACCTTTACACTCATAAATCAACTTCTACCAATGCATCCCTCTATGTATGATGATTAATAGTAACAGACATGTCAGGTGTAAAATGCTGTGATTTTGAAATACAATTTACAATTGGAATTGCAGAGCGTTCATTTCCTGCTTTGAAAGGGTAAAATGACTTCAGTTTGCCAAAGCAATGCACACTGAGATTGCCTTGTCATCAGCAGAGCATTGCTCGGAAAACGAGATCTCAGGTAAAGGCATTTTCCTCCACTGATATGATGTGCATGGTCACATGTCCTAATCACATGTCTAGTCACATGTGTCAGAAATTCCAGAAGAAAAGCATAAGCTAGTAATCTGCCCTTAGTAAACATGACTACTGCCAGAAGACTGGGGAAGAAAAGAG